ATGGAATGGAATGGAGCAGCAGAGGGACGAGGAATCGCAGGGATGGGGAGGGATAGGGACGGGAGGGAACAGGAGAGGAATGGGGAATGGCCGGGATAGGGAGGGAGAGGGACAGGGACCAGCCCTACCCTGAGGAAGAAGCGGCGCCTCCCCCCGCCCGCCGGGCCCGGGACGGGCAGTGACCGGCACCGGGGTCCAGCACGGACACGGGGACATCCGCCATCGATGACACCGCCAAGGGCCCGGCACCACACGGGGATGTCCCGCTGTTTGCTCCGGAGGTGACATCCCTCCCCCGCTGTCCACATGGGGTCACCTGCCGGCAGTGACACCACCCCCGGTAACCACACGGGGACATCCCCCGGTAGTGACACCCCTTCCAAGGACCCAGTATCCACACGGTGACACCCCCTAGAAGTGATATGTCCCCCTCCCGTCATTCACAGGATCACACCCTTCGACAGTGACACCCCCCCAGGACCCACAGGGTGACATCCCCCGGCAGTGACACCCCCAGGACCCACAGGGTGACATCCCCCATTCATCAGGCCCTAAAGGAGCAGCACCCCCCCAAGGACAAAACAGACCCCCCCATCACCAGCCCCCCTTAAGGACTCCCTGCTCCCACATCAACCCCCCATCACCAACTCCCCAAGACCCCGCAGCCCCCTTTGGGACCCCCGGCAGCCCCCCAAGGACCGCATTTGAGCCCCCCATCCGCAGACCCCGAGAACCAGCACCCAGTGGGTGACGCCCACCCTGGCAATGCCACGGACACGTGGCCAGCCCACCCTCCCACCCCGAACCCCGCACCCAGTAACCCCAAGCCCAGTGCTTCCCCATTCACCCCCACTTCGGCACTTTGGGGTCCAGCCCGAGCTCCCCACCCCATCGGGCACCCACCCCTTGTGCCCCTCAGCTCTGACAGAACTCCCCCCAGGTGCCACCGCTCTGCCGTGACCCCGTGCCTCAGTTTCCCCACCTCTAGCACTGCAGGGTGGCTCTGCTCGCTGGTCACAGTCCCGCGATGGGACGGGACCCCCAGGGTGGGCACGGTGCCACCTGACCCGCGCTCGCCCTGTGCCCTCTCGGGCTCTTGGGTGCAGGTGGGAGCGAAACCGCGACAAAAACAACCGAGAAGAGGAAAGAGAAGGAAGCGGCGGCGAGAATCGGCGGCGGAGGAGGAGGAGGAGGCCGGTGCTGACAGCCCCGCCGGCGGCTCGGGGGGCTCAGGGCACCCCCGCGCACCCATCGCAGCCCCCCAGGTGCCCACCCCCAAGTTTGAAGTTCGCCGGCATGGCCAAAACCACCTGGCTGCGCTGCCGGGTGCTGGAGGGGAAGGACCTGCCCGCCAAGGACGTGTGAGAGGCTCGGGGGGTTCGGGGCCCCCCTATTTCTCCCAGACCCACCCCGGGAGATGCGGCGAGGAGGGGATGCTGGGTGCTCTGCCCTCCCTGGGTGCTCCCCTCTCCTCTCCGTGCAATTTTGGGGTCTCTGCTTGCACCCATTGCCCCCAAAGTGGGGTTTGGGGGTGCAGGGACTGCCAGCCCCCTCCACCAAAGGGGTGTATGAGCCCCCCAACCCCTTTAGCGCCCCTTTCCTGCCCCCCAGCAGGGTGGGCGCAGAGGATTCCCCCAATGCTGTGGGTGACACTGGGGGGGCACARCCCCTGCACCCCCACCCCTGCTGGGCTTTGGGGGGGTGTGGAGTGAGCGGGGTGTGCAGGGAGACCCCCGCCTGCTCCTGCCTCGGGGACACCGCCGGCCGCTCCCAGGGCCGGGCAGCCGCGAACGGGGCCGTGCCTCAGTTTCCCCGCCCGGCGGGGCTCAGGGCGCCGTGCTGGGTGTCCCAGCGCGGGGCGATCCGCACCCTCCAGCACAGCGATGGGGTGAGCGGTGCCTCTCCCAGCGCCCCCAAATCCGGCTGGGGGCTGTCGTGGGGCCGTGGCGGGGGTYGCGGGGTGAGCCAGTCCCACTTCCCGTCCTGCGGCGGGGACAGAGACTGAGGTCACCTCCCTCGGCCATCGCGGGTGCCAGTTCTTGTGGGGGTTTGGGGCCTCCAGCTGCCATAAACCAGCGGGAGGGGGCTTTGGGTGGGGGACAGGGACACGCGGCGGTGGCTCAGGGTGACCCAGAGCGGGTCCCCTGATCAGCCCAAGGAGCACCGGGAGTGTCCCCGTCCCGGTGACAGCGGCAGGGCCAGGCCGAGACCGGGCGGCTCATCGCACCGCCGGGGCTGCTGCTTCGCTGTCGGGGTTTGAGGCCCCCCAGCATGGGCGGGACCCCCGAGCGGGGGCTGACCCTGGGTACTCCCACCCCCTGTCCAGGTCTGGCTCCAGTGATCCCTACTGCGTAGTCAAGGTGGACAGTGAGGTGGTGGCCAGGTATGGGGACACCGTCCTGCCCTGGGAGGGGACACGCGGGGATGAGGGMTCTTCCCTGGGGGTGCAGCCGCCTCTCCCACCCCGGCAGGACGGCCACGGTGTGGWAGAGCCTTCCTGAACCCTTTTTGGGGTGAGGAAATCACCCTGTGCCTGCCCCGGGGGTTCCACAGCCTCGCCATTTACGTGCTGGACGAAGACACAGCAGGGACACGGGTGAGTGCTGGGAGGGGTGGCACGTCCCCAGCGRTGGCCTCAGCACCGAGTCTGTCCCCTCACAGGCAGGACGATGTCATCGGCCAGGTGTTGCTGAGCCACCAGCAAATCTCGGCCGAGCCGCGGGGTCAGTGGGGGGCACCACGGCGGGGTGGGGACAGCGGGACCTGTCCCAGCACCCTGGGGTGCCCACGCTGTCCCCCTCGGCTGGCTCAGCCTGGCACCTGTGAAGCCCAACCGGGAGGTGCAGGGCGAGATCCACCTGGAGCTGCGAGTCCCCGAGCGGGGCCACCCGCGGGTGCTGCGCTGCCACCTCATCGAGGCCAGGTGGGGRGGCTGGCAGCACCGGGGGACTGCGACCACCGCGGGGTCCTATTTTTAGCTGGAGGGGATGGGGACAGGAGTGACACTGTCCCTTTCCGCACTGGGAAGGGTCCTCGCCGCACCAGGCTGCGAACATCGGCGATGCCAGCCCACGWGTGACGATGCCGTGGGGGCTCAGTGGGAAATATGCTGCCAGCCCTGCTTGGGGCAGGGGACGAGAGCGCCGTGGAGTACCCGGGGTTGGTCCCCAGCACAGCGGTTGGCTCCCACGCTGGGTTATCTCCCCTCTGGCTTCAAWATTCGRGGAAACTGAGGCACGGCCTTAGCTGCCTGTCTGGGTTTGGGGGTGGGTGTACACGCGTGTGTGCACGCGCGAGTGTGCGCAGGGACGCACGCACTCGGTGACACGCACACKGTGACACGCACACGGTGACACGCACACGGTGACACACGCACAGGCACAGCTGACAGATGGAGCAGGCGGCAGTGGCAGCATCCCGCTGCCATGGCAACGCAAGCGGCTGCCAAGGCAACGGGATGGCCGCGGGGACAGGGTGGCCGTGGGGACAGCTGGGGGGACGGGAGGAGCAGGAAAGGCTCCCCTGGACGTGGGGACACGATCTCGCCAGCGTCCCCTGGCACCCGCTGGGCCGCCCCACATGCTGGGACAAAGGGACCACGATGGCGGGGACAAGCCCCCTCCCGCTGCCCTCCCGCTGATCCCCTTGTCCCCRCAGGGACCTGGCCCCCCGGGACCCCTCGGGCACCTCGGACCCCTTTGCCCGGGTGTCGTGCTGCGGGCACACGTTGGAGACAGCCGTGAGTCWGAGCCGGGTGCGGGGTGCTGGGGGTGGGACCCAGAGCTGGGGCACCCCGCGGACTCGGGGGGCTCAGGCACCCCCGGGCACCTCGTTCCCTCGGGCACCGGTCTCTGTGGCCTGCAGGTGATCAAAAAACCCGCTTCCCCCGCTGGGATGAGGAGCTGGAGCTTCCAGGGGAGCTGCGAGAGGCTGTGCTGAGCGTGGAGCTCTGGGACTGGGACATCGTGGGCAAGAACGACTTCCTGGGCTGGGTGAGACGGGGGCAGGGGCAGGGAGCACCTATTTTGGGGTGTTTTGGGGTATCCAGATGCATTGCTCCATCCCAGTGGAACAGGTGAAGGATACAGGTGTGGGCACATGTTTTTTTTTGGGTGTTTGGGGTTCCTCAGGTGTGATGTGGGATATGGGTAATGGGYATGGACACAGACACATATTTTGGRRTGTTTTGGGRTATCTGGGTGTGCTGYTTCATCCCAGTGGAGCAGATAAGGTATACAGTTGTGGGTGCACATGTTTTGGGGTTCCCCAGATCTTCCATGGATATGGGCAATGGGTATGAACATGGGCTCATGTTTTGGGCAGTTTTGGGATATCCTCAGGTGCTCTGTCCCATCCCGCTGGAGTGAGTGGGGAATAGGGATATGGATTCAAATTTTGGGGTGTTTGGGGTCCCCAGGTGCTCCATCCCAGTGGAGCGGATTCGAGCCGTGGAGCGCGTGGATGAGGGCACCTTCCAGCACCCGCACACCCTGCAGGTGGTGACACAGGTGACAGCGCAGGTGACAGGTCCTTTGGGTTCTGGAGGGGAGGGGGGAGCCTCCTGAGGGTCCCTGTCCCACGGGGTGATGGGGGCAGAGGACCCTGAGAGCAAATATGGGGGTCATGGGGGTCCTTCAAGTGCTGGTGGCAGGGTGGCAGTGTCCTGAGGGTCCCTGTCCCCAAGGGCAGTGGTGGCCGGGGGTCCTGTGGGCAGCGCGGTGGCCGGGCCCCCCTGGCCGGGCCAGGCAGGTACGGGGAGCCCTGGGGGGGTCGGAGGGGGGGCCATGGGGACCCTCAGCCGGGGGTGGGGCTGGGACACGCAGGCAGAGCCCGCGGAGGACGGTGCTGGGTCCCTCCACGAGGGGACAGCAGATACACACGGATCGGGGACACGGGGACACTCGCAGGCCGGGGGCTGGCGGGTGCTGGGGGCACGGGGTAGGGGGATGGGGTAGGGGGACACGGTGGGGTGGGGACGTGGCGGAGGTAGGGGAGGGGTGTGGGGGACACCACGGATGGGTGCCGGGGATGGATCTGGGGCTGGGGCGGGGAATGCCCGCGGGTGGGTGCCAGGGGGTGGCGGGTGAGGAAGGGTGACACGGATGGGTCCCCGGCACTGACCCCACCCTGGGGTGCAGGGGGACCCGCCGGGGACCGGCTGCCTGAGGTGCTGCGAGACCTGGACATCGCCCACGCCGCCTTCACGCACCGTGACGAGAGCCCAGAGCCACCCCCAAGTCCCCTCCCTGCCCCGAAACCCCCGAGCCCCCCGAGCCTCCCCCCCTCAGCCCACGCCGGGAGGGGCGGGGACGCCCGTGCGGTGACAGAGGGGACGCGGGGACAGCAGCCCGGCACGGGGTGTATTCTGTAACACAGAGATGGACATGGCGCCGGCTGTGCGCGGCTCCGTGGGGCGGCGGCGGGCGACACGGGTGACACGGGTGGCACGGGTGGCACAGACGCGCAAAGAGGCCACGGGTAGAAAAAGACCACGACGCTATCGCCACGAGAGCGGGGCGAGCCGGGACGGGACGGGGCGACAGACGGACAGACAGACGCACACGGGGACACGTGGTGGGTGGCACCGGGTGGCCCGGGACGGGGGAGGGACCCGCCGGGCGGGGCTGCGGTCAAGCGGCGCAGGCGGCGGCGGCGCGGGCGGGGACGCGGGGGGCGAGGGCGGCCCCCGAGCCCGGCCTCAGTCCTTCAGGGTGGCCTCGGACACGCCCTGGGCCAGCAGCTCGGCCAGGACGTTGTCCAGGTAGTTGGGGTCGGGGTAGCCGTGGCCCGTCAGGTTGGAGCCGAACTCGGTCTTGTGGTGGATCTCGTTCCACACCACCGTGTCCGACTCGCCCGTGGTGTTGGAGGTGCCGATGGTGAAGATGAGCCGCCGGTCCCAGGCCACGATCAGCAGCTTCAGCACCTGCGGCGGGCGGGCACGACCATGGTTCCCCCACCCAGCACCTCTGGCCTCCTCCCGCCGGCACAGCACCGCCCCACCCCCCCAGAGTGGGGTTCAGCCCCGGCACGGTGCCCACGGGTGCCACCCTTCCTTGTGGTA